TGTTTTGCTTTGCTTATCTGATTGATTCTGTCAGCGCTATATGCTCAAGTAAAAGATTAAGCCATGCATGTATAAAGTTCATCATTTTGAGATGATTCGTATGAAATAGGGGTGAAAACTTTTGTTCAGAAAAAATCGAAAAAGATGTCAGCTCAACAGACCATGTAGATACTGTGCTTAGTCGTTTTTTCGATAACTTGATTATATGATTGCCTTTTCTTCATTCGAATATTAGTTTTTTACACACATTTCTCGCTCGTTTCAAACTGTACTGGATTCTCTTCAAAATAAAATGTTTGATAGTTTAATTAACTTCTTACTCCTCTCCATATTTGTATTTGGTGTCTCACATGAGTTGTCTTAACTTTGATCTTCTTTCTATAATGAAGCTCAAGCAATTGGGTTACTATGTAGATTCCAATTTTGTGATCCGTGATTTATTTATGTTGAATTAGTTCTCTACCTCCATTTTCATAAAACTGTTTTCACTTCTAAATCTTTGCAGAGACATTTATCAGTGTATCCATGAGGTATTCTTCAAAAACTACTGATAAAAATAAAAAAACAATATCAACAGGTTAGGTTTTTTTTCACTCAATGATTCTGTTCTACATCAAATGAACTAACTCTAAATATTGCAAGCTTGTTCATTCCAACTCAAAGTCTGGGACGAATGATCAACAGCTCCCTAGAGGATATGAATAAAGCTTCTCAAACTTCACAGCTTGAGGGAAGCGGACGGCCTGAATGAAATAGAAAAAACGTAAAATGACAAGTCCAACACTGAAATCCGAGGGTAGAATGAACAACGAGTGAACGACATAAAAGATTGGCAATGTCCTTAAGCTTGAATCTTTCAACTTCTTGCTGGAAGCTCATGTTGACGGATGAGACATCTCACACAAATAGTAAGAAATGATGAAGACGAGAAGAGAAGAACAATTCCGCATTCGGCTTTAAATGAATTGTTTCAACAACTATTCAGAATAGAAAATTCAGAAGGCACAATGTCATTTCGTCAGATGATTGGCTTGATATCGACTTCCGAAGCAATTTGCTCTTTTTATTTTCCGATCCACCTCGTTATTTTGTTTCCTCTTTCTTTTACTTTAAATTTCAATTTGGAGAAGATGCATCGTGAACAAGAAAAAAATAGAAAAAAAAAGTTTTTGTTTTGTTTTTATCGCATTGCTGAAATTCGCTTGCAACGTACTCATCCTGTAATGTATTCTTCAATTTTTAATGAATGTTCTGAAAAAGTAAAGCAAATAAATTAAGATCACTAGCATACATCTATCATCATCATGATAATATGTTATATGACATATCTGAACCTGATTGCAATTATGTTCCAACTCTTGCTTGAAAACGGGACTAACCCAGTTGCACATACTCTTCATATAGGTACTAACAAACGTTAATCTCTATGCCAATCATGTCATTTCAATCAGCATTGTTTCAAGAGTAAAAAAAACACTGCGATCAGCCGATATTCTTTTTATCTTATATACTTATGATACTCTCAACTACTATCATATTTTTTTTCAATTTAAACTAAAAGATTACTGTAATGTTTCCCAAAAGACTTACATATCTTTTTAACTTGACGGATTCTCCCTCGTACTCACACAGAATCCCTTTTTCCTGCTCTTCAGTTCCTCCCTTCTTTTATTCAGCCCACTACTTGTCTTTCAGGCCGTTTTCTTCTCTCAACAAATCTCCTTCTCTCTCTTCTTCCATCTTTTACACATCCCACCCTGCTTTCTGACACTTTTTCTAATTAATTCTCTTAACCATTCTTAATTTTGATACAAATGAACTTAGATTGAACTTTCGCTACTATTAATGTTCCTTTAGAGGGCTACCTGAGATGAGCACATCTAAGCATGTCTTTAAACTACGAGCATGAGCTACAAAATTAGCATTTTTTATTCACAAGAAATAATTATATTTTTAAAATATGTGGTATGAACTAGAACAAGCCCTACTTAGCATTCGAATAAAGAGTAATTTTCTTTTTTTTTTACTTTTCCTCGTTTTTATTTGAAATGAAATGGCATGAAAATTATGATGAATTGGCATCGAACGTCATGTTATCTCAGTCATCGCACAGGTTAATTACACTGAATAGAGCAAATCAAAATCAGACGTCAATAGCCGCAGTAATTTAGAATGCTTAAAATTCTTATACTAATTATCATCATCTCTAATCTCTTATTTCTCTATTTTTTTTGAAACATAACGTAAATATTTTAAATATAAAGGAAAGAGAGGAAGAAAAAGAATTTAATAAAAAAATGTTTTTTTCTTTCTTAACTTTAAACTTCGCACATTCTTGATCAAATAATTCTTGTCGTTTTTCATTTTTAAATTGAATCATTCCTTCGGTTATCCATTCATATGCACAGCTTTCCTTTTGTTATTTTCATTTCGCTGCGAGACCATATTTTCGGAATTGAGATGTAGATGTATATTCTATTGAAGAAACAAGTAACGTTCGAATCTGTTCAGATACTATATCAATGGTTGCTAATAATTATATACATATACATATATATATATATATATATATAATAACTAGCAGTCTTATGCATATAATGTTTCAATTTCAATTGGTTTTTGATCATAAGACATACCTTTCTCCTCTCTTTGCAACATCAATGACATAGCTGTTGTTTATTCCTGATAGTAGTATTTCAATTGTTTTGTAGTTTCTAAGAAGTTTTTTTTTCTTCAACGTTTTTCTTCGGAATATGCCGGAGGCTGCTTTTGACCTTCTTTTAAGCCCTTTTCTTTTACTTTTCTCTCTCCTTTTTTTTTAAGTTTTAGACAAAATACAAAAAGTCGTTTAAAGAAAAATTTGAGGTGCGATCATCATACTATTTAATTTCTTAGTTTCTCTGATCAGTATTTTTTAATTTATCCCAGACCACCTAGTATGCGTTCAGCCATCTTCTGCATCTCTCTACATTATTGCATTGCCCCAGGCTATATTTGGCGACTACTTCGGATGTTTGAAGACGGAGGAGAGATTAAAGCTATATAACTTTGTGGGTGATTGTGGGTGGGGTGAAGAGGAGGTGGTGAAGCTGGGACTTCGATTCCATTGCTCACAAATGATCAAATTTTTTCTCAAAGGCTAATTTTTGACAGCTTTTGAAGTGAACATTCAAGCTTCACCCGTGAAAAGCAATGGTTTTCCATTTCATTAAGATCAATTGCTTCAAACGGAAATGACATTACCGATATTCTCTTTTTTCTCTCATTTCTCCTCTAATCTTTTTCTAGTTTTGACTTTCGCTCTGAGTTTTCTATCAACTTTTTTCATGTTTTTTCTTCATGGCTACTTACAATTGTCTGTTGTGAGAAGAAAAAGTGTATGAAATGAGGAGAGCAAATATCTTTGATGTTTTAAGTATCTTTTTTTGTAACTTAATACTCTTCATGTCCTCTTCTTAACGCATATGAGTTTTTATAAAGAATCAAGAGAGAGAGTGAGAGAGAGAGAGAGAGAGAGAGAGAGAGAGAGAGAGAGAGAGAGAGAGAAAGAGAGAG